TTCCTTTCTCAGATGTTAGTGTGTTCTCCCTTGATGAAATAAGTTGTTCTAAAGTAAGGATAAGAACAAGGACTTTGAGACATGGTGTCAAACATAAATAAGAAAGAAAAAGGAAAGGTAAGCTACTCATAAGATGTGGGCTCTAAAAGAAGTTCTAGCCCTAAAATATAAACCTATGTATCATACTTGTGAGGATAGTTCCCTCAATTGCTGCTATATTTTCTTCATCAAAAAATTAATCTGTCCATCCCAAGTTTAAAGGGAAAAATTTGAGTATTTCACTATCATTTTTTCAAATCAGTTGTCACATGGCCTGTTCAGGAAAGTTCTAAACAGAAAAATTACCCACTTTCCCTGACTATCCTTCGAAGGGATAGAGCTTACCTAGTACCTTCTCCATAAGCCAGTCTTAACTGTGTGCAAACCATCCTGCCTAGGAAAGCCTGCTACAGCCCAACGATACCAACCTCCTGTCGAAGGGCATTTGCAGTTCTCTCCAAGTGATCAGTTTTCCTCTTGGATTTCATTATGCTGTGACAGAGAGAGTCAAATTGGGTTAGTAAGCTAAGTATTATCCTCATAAGAAAGAATTAAATTTCATTTGCCCTGTAATATCATGACTACCCAAAATACAATATAACATTCTGGGTCCTAGAAAGTGGTCTATAGAAATTTGTACATCTAACTAAAGTTTAGCGATTTACTGATGCCATGCACATTTAAACAGTCTGTTATGTCATGGCTTCAGGAGTTTGATATGCCTCCCATGACCATCCGCAGGTCAGGTCTCTTTGAAAATCAACCTCAATTGACACTGAAGGTTGATAACTCACCTGGTTAGCGTAAGGTGGCGCAAAGCACCACGTGTCGATTTCAACAAAGCAGCCTGGGAGCAGATGGCTCCAACAGGGCCTCGCAACAACCCAGGAACCAGGACAGCAGCACAGGCCATGGTGCTTCCTGGGCAAACAGAACACTGAAAATTAAAAATGTTAAGAAAAAGTGGGAGTCTTTAGGGGCCAAGGAAGAAGAGTTTACATTTTTGTTGGTGCTGTTATGAGCTGATCTAATGGCAAAACAATGAAGGGCCTCGTTCACCCTGACAAAATTTCTGCCACTATTCAGAGTTGATTCAACTGATCTCCACAATACATACGAATGCAATTATTGGTGCCACCAAATATTCATGTTGCCTATTAGTTTCCAAAATCTCTGACCAAGTTCACATGACTAATCTTACACCATTACAGGGGAGTAGATTTGCTAACTGCCTGGTAACTGTAGTCCAATCAAAGAGTACCACTAAGTCTTTAATGTTTCTTGTTTAGATGAAGTGCAGGGAGAACAAACTGAGGTCCACAGCACTGAGAATAAACAAACTGCAACTACATGAGGTAACAAATGAATATTACAAACATCAAAGTGAATGAAAAGAATGAAAGCAGCCACTCAAAAGAGCACACAGTCTGTGGGACCAGTAATATAAAGTACAGAAAGAGACAAAATTAATCCATGAAGTTAGAGATCAAGTTATCAGTTACCCTTGGGGAAGCAGTAGTGATAATGTCATCTATTAATCTGAATGATGATTGCATGGGTGTGCTCATTCTGTAAAAATTCCATCAAACCACGGAGGACTTTTAGGGCAGTAAAAACACCCTGTATACCATAATGCTGAATATATATCATTATGTATATTATACATTTGTCCAAATCCATAGAACATACAACACCAAGAGTGACCCATAATGTAAACTATGGACTCTGAGTGATAATGATGTGTCAATGTGGGTTCACCAACTGGAACTACAATACCACTCTAGCGGGAGATGTTAATAAAGGGGGATTGTTGATAATGGGGGAGGCTATGCTCTTTTTTTTTAAAATATATTTTATTGATTTTTTACAGAGAGGAAGGGAGAGGGATAGAGAGTTAGAAACATCGATGAGAGAGAAACATCAATCAGCTGCCTTCTGCGCACCCCGTTACTGGGGATGTGCCCGCAACCAAGGTACATGCCCTTGACCGGAATCGAACCTGGGACCCTTCAGTCTGCAGGCCGACGCTCTATCCACTGAGCCAAACCGGTTAGGGCAAGGGGCCATATGCTCTTGTAGGGACAAGGGGTATATGGGAAATCTCTGTACTTCCCCCAATTTTGTTTTGAACCTAAAACTATTGTAAAATATTATCTTAATAAAAAAATTTAATCAAGCTGTCCTCTTAGGATTTATGTATTTTTCTGTTTGTAAGTTATATGTGAATAAAAGAACAAAAACCCAGAAGGATCCCCAACATTTCCATGTCGAAAAACTACTGGCCTATCAAGAAAAGTACTGAGTGGGAGTCAGATGATGTATTTTTTTGATGTATTCTGCTTTCCTCAGCCAATTTTTAAATATTTCTTTGACTAAGATGGCCACTTTTGCCAAAACCGGTTTGGCTCAGTGGATAGAGCGTCGGCCTGCGGACTGAAAGGTCTCAGGTTCGATTCCGGTCAAGGGCATGTACCTGGGTTGCGCGCACATCCCCAGTAGGAGATGTGCAGGAGGCAGCTGATCGATGTTTCTCTCTCATCGATGTTTCTGACTATCTCTCTCCCTTCCTCTCTGTAAAAAATCAATAAAATATGTTTAAAAAAAAAAAGATGGCCACTTTTAACACTTTATATTGCCTATCTTAGCTTGAGAATAAATAAAGATGTACATGAACACTCTTTTTTTCTAAGCTCTCTGGAAGGCACTACATAAATTAATTGTAATATATTTAGTGTTAGAAAAATATTCAAGCTAGATGTGCTTATGTTCCTACTCCATACTCACTAATTCAACCCTTCATTTAACAAATATTTATTAAGAGCCCATTATCTGGCAGGCACTGGGAATACAGACATGAACAAAACAAAGGCTTTCTTAGGGAGCTAATATTTTAAAAAGTAGAGACAAAAAATAGACAAAAGTAAATAAATCAGGTGGTGATGTAACTCATATGTAATTTATTCAGTTATAAACAAATCGTATACAAGAGCCACTGCTTCATAACCAATCTTTAGATAAGGTAAAAGATCTATTTCTTGCCATAGTATGATACTGCATCATTGTGGATAAATAATGCTACTTGCTATTTTTTCTTTTGCATAAATGAAAAAAGTATAATGCCTCTTTACCTCATGTAAAACTACTAAATGTAGTTTCTCTCCTTTAAATATGCTAAACCAAAAATGCTGTTAATCACTGAAAGAAAGAAACTTACTTTAGAAGTCCATGAGACTTTTAGGAGTCATTAAGTATATGGCTGGCCGGCTGACGGATATGCAGTATTTTGGTCCTGGTATTATACTGAGACCTTCGGATATACACTGGTTGGAACCCAGACCAATGTTTCCACACACTGAGATTCTCTCACAAAGCTCCTGCAATGACAGAGACAACGTATAGGAACAATGTTTTGGGCAACTGTTATAAAGAACTACTATCTCCTATTGCAAACGAAAAGGCTCATTATAATCAGCAGGCATCTCCTCACAGTAAAACTACTCTCAATTTCCCCCCTTCCATCAAGTCTTCCTCTCATCTTTCTGTTTTTCTTTTTTATGATTGTTTTTTTCCTCTTTTCTTATTCCACCCTATGAAAGCCCAGACCAATGGCTGGAATGATACAGTTAGTGTCATGTAAGGCCAAATTCCCTAATAAAATTTAATAGATACATAGTTTAATATGAAAACATTGCTCTGCTCAGGACAATTATAGCTAAAATAGTCCTCACATAGATACAGCTTTAAGTGATTATGCTGTCTGAATGGTCTGCTGCTCAAATGAACTGGAAAACAAAGACATGTTAATTTTAAAAAGCTGTTCTCTTTAAAATTCTAAAATCTTCTTTTGTAATAATACCAATGACCAAGAGTGCCACCTACTGGTAAATACATGGTATTTTTTTATCAAATTGTGTTCAAAGGAACTTCCAAAGCAATAAGGTATTTTTTTAAAAAACTACCTATTTTGACAACCAAGATGGCAGCATAGGGAAACGCCTGTACTTGCTGCCTCCCACAACCACATCAAAACTATAACTAAAAGACAAAACAGGTATCATCCAGAATCACGGGAAGTCTGGCTGAGTGGAAGTCCAACAACTGGAGGGAAAGAAAAAAGCGCATCTTGACTGGTAGGAGGTGCGGAGGTGCAGAGGTGCAGAGGTGCAGAGGTGCAGAGGTGCAGAGGTGCAGAAGAGCGAAGGTACGGAGGCACACGAAACTGGGCACGCAGTTGTCTTTTTCAATCGAGGGGAGATACAAACTCCCAACTGCTCTGAAATCCAGTTCCGGGAGAGACTCTGGGGACCCAATTCCTAGGGGGAGAAACTGGACTGTCTGGCATCAGGCCGGAACACAAGGGCGGCTTTCTTGCAGAGGTGCTTACAGCAGTCATTATTCCTACACAGGGCCACAGGACACAGAGACCCAGGGACGTATTGTGGCAGGGCTGATAGGCAACCATTGCTATTTGCACTGCCCCAGTGATTCCCTGAGACCACGCCCCACCCAATTTACAACCCCTCCCAAGCTGTGCAAAGAGGCTTTTGCATATGAATGGCCTGGCCTTTTGCAACCTAACCTAACAAACTGCAGCTGGGTCAAAGAACCCCAGAGCTTCCAAAAGAAGGCCTAAGGCTCCTCAGCAGCCTGCATTGCTTCACAGCTCCGCCTCATCTGGGCACCTCCAAACCCCATACAAAGAGGAGGAATTTGCAGATCTTTCTGTAGCTCCTGCTGGGTGGCCTCAGGCAGTGGCTGAACATGAACAC